AAACGGCCTGCCGCAGAGCCCGCTCCCCGGCTCAAGCAGAAGTTACCAATCCAAACACAGCCGGGAAATAACCAGGATAAACTGTGCCACTTGCCAGAGCCTAGGAAATATTTGTTAATTTTTTTTTTTTTTCTTCTCACAATCATCCTCGTCCATCACGACAGCGAGATGGGCACAGCAAGAAGCCAACTGCGGCACCGATTTCTTTCACGGCCAAGAGACATAGGAGGAGGGTTTCGGGTTGGAGCCGGCTTCCAGTGTTCAGAAGCCACAGTCGAACGCGCAGAGAGTAAAACCCACTGCAAGCTGGAAAGGCATTTCTGCGGTAATATTTACCCCAATGTCCACTTAACGCTCCAAATGGAGGCATGGATAAAGCAGAAAATGCACATTAAATTGTGTTGGAAACCTATGGGAACTGGTAGCCAAATTTCTACCGACAAACAAGCAACACACCCAATCTTGACAAATTTTTGCCTAAAAAAACCCATAACACAGCTCTCTCCTTTCTACTCTCGCGGCAGCTAATTCTTCCGCTCTTTCGTAAACATTTGAAAACAAGGTCACGCGCACAAATTCTGCTTTCAATTTGCCTTGTATCCATAGTGATTAAACTCAGACCCACAATACGGGACTTAAAGAAAAAACTTTAAAAATGCCTGGAGCAAGGCTAGCCCCTGGCATGCTCGCCGACCCGCCGAAGGCCAGAGACGAGAGCATCGCCGACGACTGTTTTCTCGTACAACAGCGACCCGGGAATTAAATCGCGGGGCTCCAGCAGCCGTGCTATCACCATAGCGAGGGATCCAGCCCCAAGAAACAACCAGCCCGGAGGCAACACAAATTTAACGGCTCCGAAACCCGGCCAGGGAGTGGGGTCCGGCAGGGACAGCAAGAGCGGGATGAGCAGGAAAAAACAAAAGCAGCTACAGGAGAGGAAAGACTCAACAGCCTTCTCCCCATTCCCACTGGAAAGGTTTTCCTTTAAAAAATGAAAAATAATTTTCTCATTGTCTTTTCCCTCCCAGCCCCACACTTGCCAAAGGGGAAGCATCGGGGCTGGAAGCTTGAACCACCTACATCCAAATTTCCTGCTCCATCACAGTCCCAGGAGCAGGCAAAGCCCTCGGCGTGTGATAGCAGACACTCCAAATTCAGTGGGGCCTTCCCTGGTCCCTGCCGAGTGCCTCAGTTTCCCCATCTGACCGGGGACATTGCCCTGCCTGTGGGGATATTAGGAAAATAGACCCATCCAGGACCAGGTCAGGAAGGATATAATGTTCCTCCTGCAGACGCTCAGTAGGAAAATAAAGCCAGAGGAGATGGGAAAACGCTTGGCCCCGTCCCTCCACAGCCCCGGGGTTACCGGGGGTCTCACAGGCTCCTGACAAAAGGCTCCTAAATTCCCGAGGCGCAAACCAAGCGCAACGAAATACCCCTAAAAAGGGGAGAACCGGGGGTGCGAGGAGGCTGCGGGGGAGAAGCACAACTTGTCACGCAGCACTGTAAAGCTGACGCCTCTTGAGACACACGGGGCAGGGGAAGCGGGGAGCTGCGGGGGGACGCCGAGCCCCCCGTCCCCCCGTGCTTTCGGCAGGGCGCTGGGGCTCTGTGGGCGGTGGGAGCGGGGTGAGGGGGGTTCACCGGGGGGCAGGGGGGCACTTACTTCTCGTAGTCCAGCTTGCAGTAGAGCTTCTTGTCGCGGTAGAAGCAGGTGGTCTGCAGGGGCTCCTTGCAGGACGCGCACTGGACGCACTGTTCGTGCCACAGGCTGTCGTTCAGGCGCAGCAGGAACCGGTCCGAAATAACTCGCTGGCACCCTTCGCACACCGACTTGGGGGTCGCGGCTCTGCCTGCGGGGAAGGACCCGGTGGCAGGGCTGGGTGGAGGGAGAGGTGGACGGCGAGACGGACCGGGCGAGGGATGGACGGAGGATCCCGCTGCTCCCGCTTCCCCCGCGCAGGCTGGTGGGTCGGGGGGGGCCGGGGGGGTGCGGGGGGCTGCTCCGGGATCCGGGGGGG